AAGACAACATCAGATTCATTCGGTAAGCCACATTTAAAAGGAAATGAGCTGGTGACAGAGAAATAAATCTACAGGGTTAGAATTTCTCCTTCTTTTGGATTATCCACCCTCACTCAGAGATGCAAATTCCTTTGCTTCAGGTACAGGTGTGTGCTGGTCATCCTTGCAAGATGCTTATGACTACTTGAAGAACATTTTATTAATACTTAGCAATATTCTTTTAACATCCAGCCCAAGATTTTTCAGGGTCAGCCTATACCTATTTGTTCTTGTGCCAACATTGTTCTTTAACTTAAACAGATCTGTTCCCTCATGGTGTTTATCCCTGAGGAGAGCAATCTAATCCCCTCTCGGCCTTCCTTTTGCAAATTTAAACAAGTCACACCCTTCCACCTCCTCTCATTAATCAGATTCCCCATTCCTCCTTTCACCCTAGCCGCCTTCTCTGCAAATGAACTAGTTTCAGTTCATTTTTTTGCCATGTCTGTGACTGGAGTTTTGACTATCCCAGATGACTGCACACCAAAGCCTAACACCACTTGTTGGCTTCTCTCCTGGAATTCTCCTGGTGGGAAGTTTTTCAAAGTCACAGTTGCCTTTTTTTCATTGTGCCATCCCAATAGCAATTTGCATCCATGTAGTGATCATCAATAATCCCTTAAATTTCTCCTCCTTAACTACTTCTAACTAAGATGATGAAACTTACAGCAAATCTTTGTGTTAACAGTCCCCAAATAATGTGTCCATAACCCTTAATGAAAGCCCATATAGGTAACATTCTGGACTGAATTTCTTCTGGACAGATCAAACAGTAGCAAGAAACATGAATGCATGGCTATGAACAGTTAAGGATGAAAGCATGGAATGAAATTGCTAAATCTTCTCATTTAACCACAACAGGATTAAGCATAATGCTTGCTCATACAATAATAAGCATTTAGAGACAGACAAAAAAAAAACTCCAACAAAATCAACAACCAAACTTGGCAGCGCCCAAGTGCAGTGAAATATAAACAAACATTGTAAATCAATCCACAGTAGCAAAATTCTTTCTTCTGGTAAAATGTTTTAGTTTGGTAGGGTATTTGTTAGATACCAAAATACTGAATACAGTGAAACTACTAAAAATTCTGCATTTTTTCATACCTTAGAAATAAGGAAAGGATGAAAAGGAATACAATATTTAATTCCCGAACTCTGAGCAGATGAATTGTAGGCACCAGCCTGTGTAGAGAAGCCTATTTGAGATTAAAGCTGGGAAGACCTACTTTACAACTTGCTCATTATTTGTAACTCCCACCCTTTAAATGAACATCCTTGTCAGTGATAGGTGTGCTCTACCTATCCTTACAAACAGTAACAAACTGCAGAAATTAGAATCAAGGTGCCTCATTCCTATAGTGAATGTCCCAGTGACAAAATAGAGTCACCCTTCTCCCTCCTACTTTTTTGTCTCACACTTTTCTTTCTGCAATTTCCATAGGACAGACCAAAACAGTAGTTAAGACATCCATTCAGCACTCAGGTAGTCAGGATGCTCTTTCAGGAGGTAAACAACATGATTTCAAAATCTCTCTAAGAGAACAAAACACCAGACCCCTGACTCTATGTCTAAATACCCCTAGCCACCCAGCAAAAGGAATCATGATCTTTCACTGGTTTTGTGAATACACTTCTTCCTTACTCTGGCTTTTCAACAAAACCAGGAAAGCATTCATGAGGAAAGTAAGGGTCAAGCTGCTTTCAGTACACCAAACAACAAAACATATCTTGATTCAATAGAAAATATTTGTTTCTTTTAATTTTCTGCTTCAGCAGCCAAAACAGAGAAGTTATTTTTTGTTTCATTCCCATATCTTAGTCACCACAACTTCTTGCAGCTGCATATTTTGACACTTTGACAGAAACTTCCAGGTCAGCCCAATGGCCAAGGAATGATTTTCTTACTTGGAAGTACTGTCTGAGGCATGGAGATGCATAACAGCTTTTTAAAGGGGAGCTCTGAGCTTGAGTCTGGGCTGTTTTTCCCATGCTTTTAAATCCTTATGTGCCTAACAGGGAAAGAACCATTCTGCAGTGCCTTGTTTCTTATATCAAAATGCTAATTGCTACCATCAGGGAATACTGGCCTTTTGATATGATTCTCTATGGAATTTTGTAATAATGTAATAATAAGCCATTATGGAGTTATACCTCGGGCACTGCCATTAGATCTTCCAAAAACTGCAGCTGATCAGCTAGAATTTGCGCAGCAACAACTTAAAACCAAGAAAACTGTGTTTCCTTGTGTATTCATGCAAGCCTAAAGGCAAAATATATACCACGTAAGGATGACTGCTTTTGTCAGTTTATACTAGAAGACACTTTAGTCTCCTAGATCAAATCCTGGGTCTTTTCTTGAGGTATTTTGCATTTACATCGACCACAGCTTCTGTGGTCACCACGGCTTTTTGTTCAGAACTGTCACATCAATGTGTCTGACTTCTTTAATGTACAGCCTTTCAGACCCTTTGGTTGTGGTCTAGGATACTTTCAACTGAAAGCATATCTTCTAACATCAGATATCTCCCAAAGAAACACACTCCTAACTTCCTTAAAGAGGGCCATTGCTTTCATTTTTGAAATGTACATTATGAACATATTTTCAAGGAGCAACAACAGTGTTTGCAATATTAGACAGTTTAGTTCCTGTTATTTCCTGTACAGTTCTTCAAGGTCTTGGAGGTTATCTATCCTTTGTCCTAACTTAGAGAATGTGGTTTTGTAAACAAGTAGATTTTGCTAGAGAGGCAAAGCTGAAGTCAATTCAGCCTTTGTCTAAAAACAGAATCATAGAATCATAGAATCGTTAGGGTTGGAAAGGACCTTAAGATCATCTAGTTCCAACCCCCCTGCCACAGACAGGGACACCTCACACTAAACCATGTCACCCAAGGCTCTGTCCAGCCTGGCCTTGAACACTGCCAGGGATGGAGCATTCACAACTTCCCTGGGCAACCCATTCCAGTGCCTCACCACCCTTACTGTAAAGAACTTCTTCCTTATATCCAATCTAAACTTCCCATGTTTAAGTTTTAACCCATTACTCTTTGTCCTGTCACTACAGTCATGAATTATATATGATTTTTAAATTCTCATCCATTACATATTAAATATGAATTCACAACAAGTAATGCCAGACAAAGTGGTGACAAAATTTGTATTAACAGAAAGTTTAAATTCCCTAAACAATGTTTCACAGGACTAATTTTTTAGACCAAATCATTCCTTTGACTTGTATAAGAACAGTGTAAGCACAAAGAGTTTCAATTACACCATTCAGCAGTGATTTTGTAGTTGTTTTTTAATGATAATTTGGTTTATTTAGGATTTCTATTTTCTGAACTTTTTTATAGTTGTGGATGTTGTTTTCCTTTTCACAATTAGAGGGTGGTGCATGAATTTACTTTGACTTGACAGCATGCAATTACATGATGCAGTGCATACAATCACGTACATGATTGTGTCAAAACCAGAAAAAGAGCTTCTAGGTTAAAAGAGTTGCCTTTTTAAGCCACTTTCATGGTCCCATCCACAGGATTAAAAAGAAGAGTCATATGTTTAGCAAGATATAACCAAAAAGAATTCAACATGGGTTTTGTAGCAAAATTTAAAGGCTCATTCTGTCTGATACAGATACTGTCTTAAACATACATAGATTTCAGAGATGTCTGTCAGGGTGTTTTTTACTTTTTTCCCCTTGTATTGTTGCTTCCTGATGAACGAAAGGAAGTAGCAATTGATGCATCAGTTTCAGCTTCCGAATGCACAGAAGTGCCAATTTGCTATAAGACCAAATATGACTCACTTTGGATTTTAAAGTGACATCAACCACCTGGAAAACAGGTCTACAAACATTTTAGGAATCCGGTTTTTCAGACTATGGGGAACCTGTCACTGGAGGCAGCAGTAGCAATAAAACATCTAATGTCTCTGTTCTTCCCAAGAAGAAAGCATAACTGTGGTCAGCATCCGCACACATTACATGACCAAATTCATGACTCCAGGGTGTTTACAATGATATTTTTGCTGCCTCCAAAAAGACTTGCTAAAGTCTGTTCAGCTATGCTGCTGGAATGAGTTGACGAAATCACAAGAAGCAGCAGTGGTATATTCAGATTGCTAGCAGGTACAGTGCTTGCCTCCTTTTCACCTGAAGTAACCTCCTTAGGAATATTTGTTCTGTGATTGTTTATAATTTGTTTTATTATACCTAATGTCCCCACCCTTTTGGGATTACAGCCAAAAACATCTGTAAAACCATCAAATGGCCACTGTGTTATTCAGAAGGTTTGGGTTCAAAAGCTGACAGAATTTAACAATTAGAACTGCAGATGGTTTCTACCAAGTAATATGCTACCTGATCTCCTAGTAGGGAACTCCTCTGGCTAGGTGATGTGAAAAAACTAAAACACAAAAAAAAAACAACATTCTTGCCAAAACAGAAACCAGACCACTTACAGAATGGTAATTTCTTCCCAAGAAGAAAGCATAACTGTGGTAATCTCTGGGAAATAGCCAACAACAGCTAAGACTTTGGAGAAGTTATCTCAGGTGATCCTAGACTGATTTCAGATGCTGTTCTACACAATTAACATTATCAAAGTGATGGGCTGTGCCTCAGGGTCAGAGTTTGGCTAATGTGTATTTGCTGATTCTTGGGGTTCGTGTTGCAAAACTTCCAGATTAGCTTTTCCATTTAGCAAGCTTCCAGACATAGAGGACTTCTTTCTGTTTCTCCCTCTAAATTACCACTAGGAGGAATGCTGTCTGTGAACAGCCTTTACCGCTGTTCCTAGAACCATAAACGCAGCTTGTGGCTTTGGGAACTGTGAGGTTGCCAGATCAAACAGCAATATTGCATTATCAGAGAAAGTTCTATTTCCTTCTTGAAACTAAGAAAATTAATAACTCTCAATCCTCTTGTTCATCATTCAAAAGGTATACTTATTTATGCAACTAGCCTGCTCTTCTAGGGAATCCTCTTCAGTGACTGCTGCTTCTAGTTCTGTTCTTCTGGGAAGCTGTTTCCCTGTAAACAGGCACAGTTTTAAATGGACAAACAACTACAATAAGGGGCAGACTTTTAGTGTTATTTCAGTTTGCTACAGTAAACCACATGTATCATCAGTGTGAACTCACACGGTCAACAGACACATGCAATAGCATATAACATAAGTAAAACTTCCTGAAATAAACCCAGAATGAAATAGTAAAGCCACAATAGGCAACACATTTTTCAATTAGCTTGAGCATGCTACTGGAAATTTTACAGAAACCAATACAAATTATGTGGCTTTAGTTTACCAGTATTTTCTGCGGAAAAATGCCATTCATGAGAAATTTGGACCAACATTATTGAAAACTTCTTGCAACGTGCAGAATACATTCATAATACATCAGAGATCTGATCTTCAGACTATTCTGTGACTGCCTGAAAAATCTGTTGTCTATTCAGGGGGAATACAGTAGTGCTAGCATTTAGGAACACACTGAGGAGCTAAAATCTTGCTAAAGACATGTAAACCAATAGCCATTTGATTGTACTTATGCAGTAAAGAATCTATATAACAACTATTGGCATATAGACACCACAGCTAAATTAAATGCTAGTAATGAATCCATTAAGTAAACGGAAATAAATAACAGACTCTTGTATGCCTGAAACAACATTTTTTTTAATCTTTCATCTTCCAAATACAAATATATCTTCTTGGAGTCACCCTCTGGTAGTAATTCATTTCATACTCTGTAGCTGTAAACATCCTGATATGACAGCCAAAATATTCAAATTATTTCTGATTTATCACCTTCTATTATTCCATGGCTAGGATGCCTTTAGCATGAGTTGCTCTGAGGTGAGACACAACTAGACTTAAATTACTTTGCAATGGATTGATAATTAATCACTTCTGTGATCACAAACATTTTACGTTACCATGAACTCATTAACTCCTTGTCTCCACCTATGCATGTGTATGACACACATATGAACTCTGTCTCCTCAGCATAATTCATGGATCTTAGGATTGTAAAGACTATCAATAGCATATGACAGTTTTTATGCCACAAACAAACTCACTAACTTATAGGAAATCTCCACTTGTTGCATTAGGGCAGACTGGTGTCTCAGGGTTATGTTCGTGGTTACATTTTCACTGCTGCTCCACAAAAATTGTGTTTCTTGACTGCCTTATATCTGTCAATGGGTATCTAAAATTCCTTAAAGCATCTAAAATTATGTGAATGCCTATGACTAAGCAGCAGAATCCTTCCCATTATTGTCTCTAAACTAAAGGTTATATTACAGAGTATAGTGCAGGTCAAAGACTCGGTTGAATACTTGACCTTTGAGCAACAACTATTTTGATGCTTTCTGTCAAGAATTCTTAGGGAACAGAAAATAGCCAGAATAGCCACTGATCAAAAATTAGAACATTGGCCTAATTTAGGAATACATAATAGACATGGGGTTTGTAGACAAAACCGATGGCATACTTTCTGTTGTCTCTGAACTAAAGGAAAAAAAAAAACCAGTCATAAGAGGTAAATCTGCATTTTTGTTGACTACTGCTTATTTGTCAGTGACTATGCTAAAAACAATTTATAAACATAGAAACTTCTTACAATCTGAATATGAAGTTGATGTTTTCTGACATGTTTGGATAGTCTAGTTTCTTAAACATCTGGGCATCATACACAGATCTAATTTTTTTTGGAAACTTGGAAGAAATAGGTGTTTAATTGCAACTTCCCCGTCACAGGATACTCCATCTGTATTTAACCTTTATGATGCACTAAACTGTTCTAAACTGTGGTTACTGCATATTGTGTGTTTATTTCCTTTTCTCATTTTCTATCTCTTTCTCTCTAGTTCTCCTTCTTTTTCTCCTTTTTTTTAATACTGTATTAATTCTAACTCCATGTGCCTTCCATAAATACAGCACTGAAAGTTCATTTGGATTCTGTAATCCAAAAATGCTGTCTGATTCCAGAAAGAGAACACTTATCTCAAACTACACTGACATTCAGCTGTATTTACATCACTTTTTCTCAAAAAAAAAAAACAACAAACAAACCCTTTTTAAACACTCTTCACAACCAGTTAATGTCGTGATAACTGACATATCCTGCTAATACAACTTCTTGGTTAAAAGAACAAATAAGAATTCAATAGACTCATAATCTTTCTACTTTACTTTTGCATCTATCCCTCTTATTTCATTCTGTGATCTTCCTGAAGACCTTTTTAGCAATATCTAGATGTAATAATTAATCCCCAGCTATGACAAGATGTATTTTATTATTAGAGCTAATTATTTCAGGATTTTTCAGGATTCCCCACAGGGGGAGAAAGCAACTTTGCAAGGAATTATTTAGTTTAGAGTTTAAATGAATCATATCAGTATATTTTTAAACTTAAAACCTAACAACAAATAAAAGCCAGAAGTACCTTACATGAGCCTGACCATTTCTGCAGCTACATAAAATGATCATTTAGGTTAAAATACGCAGGCATACTTCACGAAAGACTTCTTACAGTGAAGTTTCAAGCTAGGGGCAGTCCCCCATACCAAAACAGTATCACCATACAGCCTCACAGTGGATAAGACACTTTCTAGGGAGATATGGATTTCAGTTAATTCATTCTATGGAAAGTCTTGAAATCCCTACTGCCATATTCTATTAGAATTAGACTTAAGTTTCAAACAGCTGCCAGTCTTCATCCTAATGAGATGGCAGTCACTGAAAAGAGTGGAATCTTCTGCATTAGAGGAGTTGTACTGCTAAAAATATAGTCCCTAACATTGGTCAACAGGACTTTGAGAATCATAGTCTTAGATTTAGATGCTTAAACCATCTACATATCCACTTTTGGCACTTTAATATTTTTGTGTATCTTGGCCTAAAAGTCCCTGAGTCTTGATTTAAACTAGAATAATTCTAGTATTAGGAGAAACTGTATAGGTCTGCTATGGGAAAGCTGCTGCTACTACTACTACTTTTGACCACCACACTATCGGCATTTGGACATGCTAAGAGTTACTGGTGCTAGTAGTTACTGTATCAGCTACCATGAGGACTGCTCTCTCCCTTTCAACTAATGCTTGAAAGATGTAGGGCAAAAGGCTAGTATAGACATATCTCTGATTGTTTAGGCTGATTATTTGTTCTCAGAGCAATAGAAGGAAGCTATGCAATGAACTTGTGCAATAAATTAAAAGTGTTAAGCAAAGTGTTTTCCCAGTTACTCACATTTTCTCCATCTTTGCTGATTTCTCCAGCTCTCTCTCCCTTTTGAGTCTGCTACTGTTAGCTCTGACTGATTAGTCATATACCTAAGTGAATCAGCATGAAATAATTCATGTGTGGCTTAGGTTCATTGGATTACATTTAGTCATGCAATATTTGATTTGTCTTGATTCCTAGATTCCTAGTGTATGAGTCTGAATTTGCACATAGTTAGTCTCTACATTTTTTGACATCTTTGCTGACCATTGAGACATCTTGCCTTGAACTTTTTATGAACCAGATACCAGATGTGGTTAGTAACTTTGAGCTAGAGCCCAGAAACTCAAAAAAGGCCAAGAGAGATATGAAAAAAGAACGTACAGTGGTGCCAAGATCCACCCTCACTTTTCATGTGTAAAAGGTGCTTTAAAAACTTTGAGCAAACAAATGCTCCATCCACAGGCCCAATGCTGCAAAAACTTATCTCAGAAAAACTACCAACAGGAAACCTGAAGGCTCCAGCCTATCAGCATCATTTGCACTCACTAGCCACCTCTGAATAAACATATGGAGAGCTGACTTTTGTGTCTTATATGTGGGAAGCCCACACATAACTGACTTCAAAAGAACATATTTCTCCCCTGCAGAAGATAGACATAAATAAAAAGCAATAACCAGGTTTACTTGTAAAAACAAAAAGTCTAATAAATAAGTAAATACCCAGGAACAGATTATCCAATGATAATAAGAAGCATTGCGCTATTCTCCTTCTTTATGAAGAATACTCATTCTTTTACGTTTCAAGTCAGTCATGAAAAATATGCTAAAAATATTCCCTGCCTTATTCTAACTATAATTTGTGCAAATAACCCATTTATGAAAATCTCTTCCAACCAGTGCTATTATCTTTCTTCATTCCCTATAAAATATTGGTTGTCTGTTGGTTTAAACCATATTATAAGCTCTGTGGTGGAATGGTCTTTAGTGTGTGTGATCATGATTATACCAGACTCTCAGTCCTTAGAAGCATCAGAGCTACAAAATAACTCAAGCTTGTCTGATATAAAAATTTATTTCTTCTCATTTAAACAAGAATATTTCTTTTAAGGTATGGAAGTGGAATAAGTTCATTAAAAGGCACTTTGAGATAAATACATATGCTTTTCTTGGCACTGAACTCTATCAGCCCCACCTAATGTCATCTAAGCCAGGAAGAAAAACATAAACTCACTCTGTAAATACTGTTGCCCTTTTGCCAGGTTATACCAGTTTGGGGAGTTTGAAATGGGCTAATTTATCTTTCAAATAGAAATTAGTGACATGGAGAACTACACTATTTGCTAGGTATAAAAAGGTATGCAGGCTATGTATATTTGTACCCACACACAAATATATTTTGATTATTGAATACATATTGATATAGAAAGACTGGAACATATCTAAATTAAGTGAAAAAATCAAATATTCTTCAAAAATAGTCTCTTTTATCTTGAAAAAATGTACTGGAAAATATGTGAAATAGATTTATTTAGCTTAGTAGACATTATAGTATTTACATAATTCCAAAAACATGACTGTACTTGTTCTGAACAAAGATCCACATATTATTTGAGAGTAACTAGAACAAAAGAGAATATATATGTACTGTAATTCATCCACATGTTGCTATTGCACTTTCATTGATGGTAATTTGGTGTTAATGGCAATGGGTTCCACAGTCTAGTTGCATTGTCCATCTGGTAATGATTCCACCATGATTAACATTTGTCTTTTAAATAGCTAAATATTTATTTGTAGTTAGACTCTGGTGCTGAGAAGGGATGCTGGAGCCAAATGAACAGACATCCAAAGCACAGAGCTCAGCCCTATGTGATGCTTAGCGTTCTTACTCACAAGCTCTAAGTAGCTCAGCAGAAAAGTTTCCCTTTTCAGATCACCCACCTCATTCTCTCCATGAACTGTATAAAAAGTTTATGCAAAGAATGCCTCACTTAAGTGATCTGAATCAACCAGCTGGGACTAGAAGCCTCATAATTTGGCATTGCTTCACTTACTTGGAGGTGATTGAACAACTATTCTGTATTTTGGTCATTAACTGTGGATTTATACAAACTATATATAATGTGTGTGTATATATATATGCATAGGAATGCCAACTGGCATCCTCAGCCTGAGAAAAAGCTCTGTTGACGTGGATTTCTTTAATTTCATTGCTGGATTATGAATATCTTCAGATCACCAGAACACTTTAATTAAACTCTGTGGAAGACTTCTGCTGCAATACTGTAAATTACCTTATAGATTTTGCTGTTTCAGCTGCTTAGAAATGGATTACGTAGTTCTTTACACCTAGGCTGGGATTTACAAGCCAAAAAATTTCCCTCAAAAACTGAGAGGATGATGTTTTTATCATACTAACCTGGTATATCTAATAAATTTTTGTACAGTAGTCACTCTATCTTGTGGGACCTTCATGACTAAAGAAAAAGAAAAGGCAATAATTGAAAGACATTAAAAATCATGGGGTGATTAAATCGATGGTTTCATTCATGGGAATGCAGTCTAGTAGTATTATCTTTATTTGTTCTACAGGCAGAAAATCTGTCTAATAAGTCTTAAAAACCCCTGACTAGAATGGATAAAAATTTGAAGTTCAATTTTATGAAGAATTCTTACATTTCACAATTTGTTTTATCACTGCAAAGGAATTTCAGGAAATTCTACACTTATTCATGGAATATGAAATGGGAAATTCTGGGAAAAAATGCTAGAAAATTGAAATATAAAAAGAAATATTATCTATAATAGAAACTACATTAAAGCATAACACAACTAATAGACTATAAAAGCCCAAATAAAAAATAACAGAACAAATTCAGAATTAAACACATTCATTTTGCCAAAATAAATCTTAGCCTTACTAATGAAATAAAAGCAGTCTTGTTCTAATTACTTTTTCTTTGAAACTTGTCAAGATAATTGTGGTTCCGTAAGAGATTTGGGCTTTCTTAATACTGAAACACTGAACAGAGAACAGTGACTTGAAATATGGTGTGGTACAGGGTGCCAGGGAGGTGAAATGATCCACTCTGATTCACTTCACATTTACAAAAATTCTTAAGCTGTCACCAGGACTGAATCTGGTCTTACATGGTTCACACTTTTTTGATAGGGTGTTTACTTATGTTCATTCTCATATTCTTATTCTGGCTTTTTAAATTTTCAGTTTTCAGATTATTTTTTTTTCACTTGTCTTTTGAAAAAACTAATAAGTGATCCTTAATGTCTCAAACATTATGCTCTATTCATTAATGTTACAGGGCATAAAATAATTCAAACGGCAGCAATATTTCCCTCTTAACTGATAAAGCATTTCACAAAATGCTTGCTTTCATTGTCCAGAGGGCCACGAGGATGATCGGGGGCTGGAGCACCTCCCGTATAAGGACAGGATGAGAATGTTAGGGCTGTTCAGCCCAGAGAAGAGAAGGCTGCATGGAGACCTCATAGCAGCCTTCCAGTTCTCAGGGGAGCCTACAAGGATGCTGGAGAGGGACTCTTCATCAGGGATTGTAGCGATAAAACAAGGGGGAATGGGTTTAAACTTAAACAGGGAGAATTCAGGTTAGATATAAGGAAGAAGTTCTTTACTGTGAGGGTGGTGAGGCACTGGAACAGCTTGCCCAGAGAACAGGTAAATGTTCCATCCCTGGCAGTGTTCAAGGCCAGACTGGACAGAGCCTTGGGTGACGTGGTCTAGTATGAACCCTGGCCATGGCAGGGGGGTTGGAAGTAGATGATCTTAAGGTTCTTTCAAACCTTAATTATTCTACAATTCTATGAAAAATAGATACTTTTATTTACTAGAATAACGCTAAGGTATTGACAATCACCATTCCAAGAAATAAAATTCAATCACATAAGGATGAAGGTCTAGATCCATACCTACTTATCTCAGTAGTATCTATGAAACACAGAAATATTTCATTTTGATAGACCTGTTAAGTCCATCAACAGTGGTACATATAAAATACAGGAGGGAAATTAGGCATCCCAGTAAAAATTCTGCGTAGCTTAATACAATGCTGTTCAGCTCATTAATTTTACACACCTAATTATGGTCAAAGGCAGTAAGTAGGAAACAAGAAGTGGAAGGTATTTGCTTTGTCCCTGCCTTTATATTTCACTTTTTACCTGGCCTAATGAAATTTCACTGTTGCCTGCTATGTATCACAAGAATGTCAGAAGCATTTAAGCCCTAAAGCAGCTTAAATTTAGGTGAGTAAACACCTCCCAAAATAGTTGTGCATTTGAACCTTCCCCTCTCCCTGACAGGAAAAAGAAAAGAACCACAGACTAGGCAAATATTTTGCCATGGAATTATTTTGAAGAGTAGGAGTTGCGCAACAACATAATCTAGTGAGAGAGGCACCACCGCAGTATTATGTACAAAGGCCAAATATGATCTGTGCCCACTGCTTGCGTCGCAGCATATAGGACCGGCCAGAAGACCAGAAGATTTTATGCATGTACTAAACAAAGATTAACATACACTTTACACTTTACACATTAACACTGTTGGTGAGACATTTTTCCTGGTAAAAACAAAAATACCCAAAGGGTGCAGTGGCTGAGCACTTGTCTGAAAACCACTGAAGTCCTTTTGCAGATGTAGCTCTGCATGACATGTCCAAAGTACACGAGGCATGAAGCCGAGGGAGAAATACAATAACTCTCTGTGTTTCAATATATAAAAGGTCACAAGAATGAGGAATTCTTTTCAATCACCTTATCCTATGTCCACTAACTTTGATTATATGAGATATCATATTTAATCCATATAAACACAACTAGCAATGTCCTTACCTGTTCACATATCTTCACCTTCTCCAAGGCAATCACTGCTTCATATTGTCAGTGTTGATATATTCCTTACTTAATCCCACCATCAAAAGAAAAGTGGTTGGGTTTCAATGGAATATCCCTGTGTTAAACTAATTTTCATTCCAGTGTATTTATGTACATTAATTCCGTTTTTTTTTATTTTAATCCTCAATGTTCTAGTACACTCTTACACACGCAGTTTTCACTCTAAACATCATCTTCAAAATATTAAATTAAAGGAAAGTTTTAGGAAATTAAATACTATTACATCATGCATTTTATCCCCAAAAGGCAGTTTCCCAATTTATTTGTTCTCATACCTGAGTTCTGTTCTCAAACCTGAATGTACTCATTCAGGTTTCTCAATGCTGCAGTAAAATGTTAAACAAAACAAAACAGAACTGGAAAGCAAGAAATAATTATCAACGCTATATTCAAAAATTAAACATTTTTATCAGATTTAATAAATATGAAAATTGAGATAGCTGTTGTAAAGCACATGACAAGATATTATTATTGACAGATATATTTATATACTGTCTTTTTGCACAGCTGCTTAAGCATGGAAGGACATACCTAGTGTTGGGAATCAGAGGGAGGAATGAACAGGAAAGTGGAGCAGAAAAAGGTAAAGACTTGTTAATTGTCCCAAAACAACAGAACAATGTAGACTATGAAGCTTCCAAGGCTTCCCTTCCTTTCTTGTAGAACTCCATGGCAGACCAGAGCTAATTCAAATTTCTGATTACCATTCAACAGACTTAACCAGACAAATCTTAGTAGTCTCAATTTTTATTTAACTTATCTTTGCATGCAGTTTTCCAATTTAAGGAAAATATATGATATGAAAATTTCCTACTTTTGTCATGATAGAATTATGAAGAATTTTAAGTGGATTAATTGTAATAAGAAAGGTGAGACTGCTTCTTAGAATATGCTACCAATCCTGTTTATATTTACCCACATAATAATTTCTAAGCAAATATTTTATGTTGTCTTTAATTAAGATCAATACTTGTGAAACTTAAAAATAAAAAACCCCACTGTATTTGGAAAAAAAAGTAGTTTATACACTGCTGTGATTTCAGTGCATGAACAAAACAGTGTTTTCTGAAGATCTTTTTTATTGTCCCCAGTTTATAGATATACAAGACCTTAATCTTTTTATACCATTCTTTTTATGAATGTGCATATATGAGATGAAGTATGGTTAAACTATTTTTGCTGCCAGCTGCTGTCTGATTTACCTCAAAATGGAATTAATCCAATAATTGTTGAGTTTTGATTAATTCTGTACTGTAGCTACTAATTGAAAAACATGGAAACATTAAGAAGAGTGCATCAGTTACTTTTCTGTCAGAAACTGTCTGACTCAGCTTCCAGAGAAGTGAGCAGTATGCACTAGAGACATCTCTGGACAATACACACATTGCAAACCAAAGCAGTTTCCTAAGTGAGGAAGCCTCATATGGGGTTTTTATGTAATCCAGCATACCTCGATATTAGTGGAGTTTCTTCACCATTGTAATCAATTACTTTTCTAGTTTGAAGTAAGTGCATTGCTTTGTTGAGCACCTTTTAGTTGCTGCGATGCATGTTCAAAAGTTCCTTGTACATTTGTATTCAAAAAAAGTAATTTTCTGAAAAATGTGGCAGTGATCTGCTTTCCTTCTTTGTTTCCAGAAACTGTTCCCAGGTTGCTCTGCAAATGCAAATGCATAATGCTACATTAATGGGTTGTAGAGAAAAATTCCAGATCCTAATTTATTTTATAATAATTCTCCATTAGGTTTTCTGCATTGTCATTTAAAATGACATACTGGTGACCTTATTGAATACTTAAGTATGTTACCATATTTGATGTGGCTGTGGATTCTGTTTTTATATGATTTCTGAAATATCTTGGAAGACTTATTTATATGGCTCCACATAAAAATTTTTGCAATTCAACAACTATGTCAGAAGGTTTCAAGTTTTATAACACAGTCAAAGATGTATTTTTTCCAGTAGTAGAAAAGGCTTTGTCTTTAATTCTCAAAATTGATAAGTTTATTTGAATGTTTGAATAGCAGAAATATAAAATGGAAGACAGATATCTAGATATTTATGATAGAGGAATGTACCTATTAGTAAGATTTCCAGATATCCAAGAATATAACAGCCAATTTTCACTTAGCTTAATAATTGCATTGACGATTTTGGTTTCTTCCTAATGTTATTAGGAAGTAATTAGTAGGTCTCATCAAATGAATTCAGCATGTACAGATGCAGCATAAATTTGAACTAAATATTTTGGTTAGATCTTTTAACATGGATGGAAGGATGAATCTGACTGCATTCATTAAAAGTAAAGGTGCTTATACCAACATAACATGCTCCTTTCACAAAGCTGCACAGCTCACTACCCTAAAACCTGGAATGTTCTGCATTTTGTAAGTCAAGATTCATCTGAGGATCTCAGTATTGACTGGCAAATGCAGTTTATTTTGTAGCTGTAAACATTTTAAGTTATCAGAAATAATATCCAGTAATTGACTGTAAACATCTAATAGTTAAAATACTTTGCAAACAACCTACTGGCTTAAATTTTAAGTATTAGCTATGGGCTCTCTTTTGACATAGAACTAATTTATTTCACATTTTAATATACATGTTTTCTTATAATAACTGCTATTATTTTTAAAATCTACATTTAAAGTTACATTGACCATGCCTGAAATAAAGATTTATGCTTTTTTTTATTTTCACCAAATCATATCACAGTTACATTTCCTTGTGAAATTAATAACTTGATTCTGGTAGTTTTGTATGGTTTTTTGTTGTTACTCAGTTCTTGATTCAATTTCCTGTATTTCATAACACTAAGCATAAAAAATTATTTCAAATCATAAACTTATTTAAAAAAGTGCCATGGTGTTGACGTATGAGATTTTCAACTAATTTCTCAATTTCATCTTAAGTGAAAAGTGTCATTTCTATTAAGTACATTACTCATCAGTTGTTCTGCTTCCTTTTTTTCACACCTTTTCTTTGAGTTCTCATCCATGTTTCTGCATTATTTCTGAATGTCACCCCATCATTATTCCGACCAGATGATAAGATGTAGTACATTACAAGTATTCTGCAGCACTTCCAGGTTTTTGTGCACAAGATAATTGTGGAAGTTCTCTGACTTCCCTAAAACATACATGTAACAACAACTCTGCAGCACAAAATACTCTGCACCACGTCAAAAAAAGTTCTGTAGGTGATACTTTTTTCCTTGAAACAGACCACCCAGAAATTGATGTATCTAGACAGTGATTGTGTGTGGAGAAAAAGAAAGAAAATAAAAGAGGGAGCCAAAACATTGTTTAGAAAGACAACTATCACTGTCAGCCCCTGCAGAAATTTGGAGTGCAGAATAAGGAGGACTCACTGGATTCAAGGCTCCCTGCAAATTCATTTTTCAAAGTTGGAATGAAGGTTTTGTGGGATTTCTCCTCCTTTCTTTTTTTTTAGAGAGGTAGGCGGGTATTTCTTACTTTTTAGAACTTAAAACATAATCAAAAATGTGTTCCTTCTCTCTTCAAACAGATATTAGTCAAAGAATGCGTAGTACTAGTTTTTCAACAAATATAAAAAAGCATGATTTTTATGCATGTGGTTGTAATCTTTTAGGGAAATAGACAACAATTTAGTTGCACCAGAATTACATGGTTCTAATAGAAGTTACTTTACGGGGTGGCTGGTCTGATTTAACTGCTCACACTAGCTTTTTAAGAAGCCTTTTACAGTTTGAGTCTAAGCACAGAACAATTTCCAAATGTACAGACATTGGCACTACTTGATGAGTTGATAATCAGATGAACAGGGTAGACAGTCAGCCCTTCACATAGTGTGTTGCCAAAGTTGCAAGAGGCATGGGAGGGGTTCACATATTTTTGTTTTGTTTTTACTGCCAGCTGCTATACTGCTGTGGTGTTTAAAGACAGTGCCAAATACAGGGTTTTAAAGGTTCTCCTATAATTATATCAGATAGAGAAAGGGCAGGGCATGCTTTAACACCGAATCCTTCCTTATGCATTTACGGCCTGGCTTGAGACTTAAGAAGTTTTAACACCTTGAAGGATTGCCTTCCTAGCAAGGCCTGTACTGCCCTGGCCATACACATTTGTGATCGTGTTTGCATTCTTCTAGTAGACTAAAATTATTTCTTAAATGTGTTATTGGTTTTCAGGCATGGAATTAACTCCAAACTCCCTCAGTTATCTAGTGACTTTTAAAGGGTTTTAAATAATAATACTTGTATCCTCATTGACCACTGTTACCTTAATTGCTTTAAGGGTTTTTCATTAAAAGCATTAAGCATTTAAAGTGAAACACTAGCAGCTTATCATTCCCCAGTTATTTGACCTCTATGCAGGACAACCAATTGAAAAATGTACTATTATGCCTAAGATACAGGCTATGGTAATGTTGAGCATGACAGTAGGAATTTGATGAAGGAAAGGCATGCTGGAGAGCTAAAAAAGCTTCTCTGAACAGGTATCTGAGACCGAATTCCTAAATCACTTTGTCCTTAGCTTCCTAGGCAGCTAATTCCTACCCTTCTTCACTAGATATTTTCCACTAGATAATTTTCTTCACTCCAAAGCCTCTCTTTCAGTTGTAGTAGGTATTTCCAAAGTAGCAGGGAGCTCTCTAACTCTTAGCATTCCTTCTTTAATACTGGTTAAATGTAATCTAAAAACCAGTCATCACCTCTCTCACCTCACTTACTGGAACAACCTCCCACGTGCTCTGACAAATCTTTTCACAAAAATTGCATACTTTCTAAGCATTCTTGCAAATCAGGAAATGCAGTGTAAAAGTTTCTCATTCTGTTTTTGAATGTCTCTAGTGACTTCCCTTTTCTACTTTATAAAGCAAAGTGATCTAGTCTTCACTTTATTATCCTTCGTAAACTCCTAGGCCAAGCAAGCCCCTTTATATTCATATATTCCTAAGGCATTAACTTCTATTTCTATTCTGATGATACTACTAACTACGATTGCTATTTCTTATATTTTAAAAAAACACATTCTATTTTCTCCTATCCTACCTACTATTTTTGAAAAGACAGACAACCACAGGGCTGTTTCTTTTTGTGTCTTCCTCCAAACGTTGCCATGGAAGTCTTGACGTCTTGAAGAACTCATACAATATGAGCTTTGGTAATAGATTTTCCATAACTATTTTCTTATACTCTGCTTTGATGTATCCTGGGTTCTCGTTTTCCTGAAGTACATGAACTGCTGTTGTCCTGGATGAGTAAAATAATCTAGCCACTGACTTAGTATGAGATAATATGGTATGCTGCAAAAATGCATTCTGGCAAATCTCTAAGCCTGGTGTTCATTCATTTTCTTGCCCTCTAAGTTACTTTGACATTTCTGGCAGACAGTCTGTCTTGAATTATTTTGCTTTAATAGCTAGGTAGAATATCTGAAATAAAGCATAGCTATATAACCTCATTTTCTTATGCAGTAATTGCTGCCTTTCTACCTTACTGCATACAGAAACATCACACAGAAATCACATAAAAACAAAAAAAAAAAACAACTCTTAGACATAGAAACCTGTCTTATATTTGCTGAACAATTAAGTTTCTTGTTAAGGAAGGTTTGGTACCATATTCAGTATGTGACCTGAAACATCTTTTAATTACCCCACACAATGCTAGACATTTGGGGCATTTCTCTAGCTTTGTTTTCCAACCATTCTTTTCAGTAGAAGTTGTAGAAATGTACTACATACCAAAACTACGTATCAAAGTGCACATGCTGCATAACTGTGTTTGAACACTCTCCTAAAAGCATTGCCTGCTGATCCATTTGCAGGTGTGATATCACTTATTTAGTTTTCATAGCAACTTGAGTAGCACCTTGCATGATGGTAATAAAAATGAGGCATTTGAAAAACTATTTTTTAATTAATAGGGTGGCACATGTCTGTGAGAGGTCATATTCTAGTCTCCTTTTCAAAACCAGATTAAAACCACCTGGAACCTCTTCATGCTTTGATGCCACTGTGGTTCATGTGGAACAGTGGAACATAAGCCATGGGCCATGGAAAAGAATAAATGTAAGTAAATGGACTGAAATGGAAGAGGAAGCACCACAGCCATAAAAGGAAAAGACGCTGTATTGCTAGACAAAAGGTCTCCTAGAAAACAGTAAATGAAATCATATCCTGCACACAAATAACATGCAAGTGTTAACATGTATTCAACATCTGAACAGCTTTGGCATATAAGACATTATTTAGTATTATTATTATTTCTTAACTTTGAACAGAAAGTGCATTATTTGTCTCCCAAAGCACCCAAATCAAACATTCACAGAGTCATTTAATATCTTTTCATGCCTGTGAATTCAGATAATAGTTGTCATATTTTTGAGTCTAGCTAGCATCACTGTCTCTAATTTCAAATGTATTCTGCCAAGGTTGAATAATAAACCCCTTGGACAAGTGTTAGAGCATCTTTCAGTGAAAAAAAAAAATCTTAAATGTGATATGATTTGGTTTAACTCTACCATTGAATACTGCAACATCAGTTTTAACTATCCCACATTTTCTTAAATGAGCATATCAGCTTCTCTCACACACAGAATAAGTTACCCAAAGCATATGCTCTGTCTTCTGTCAGCTGGCCACTTAGGAAGATAGGTCCTTGAATGGAATCATGGAAAGAGTCCATTCAGCCAATTAAACCAGAGTCAGAAGCCCTGGGTTAGTTTATCACAATACTTTTAAACTATTTCAACATATGACACCCACCATTACATTCAACCAAACTTATCTTTGGGACACAAACTTGTAAGATTTGTTTTACAGAAACATTGTGTGCACTCAGCTCTTAAAGCATTCCAGCATCTCAGAAGAGTCCAGATTGTTCTTAACATTCATGCCAAGTTACCAACAACTTAGTGCAGTTGCCAAAGGTCATTCCAGCTACAGCTGTTTGGAAACACAGAGGGGGTTTATTGATCTTTTCCTTTGCTTAGCACTTGAAAAAACACTAGTATGTCCTTGAAATAAAGGCTATGAAGATGTTGATCATGACTTGGCCAAAGGGGGTGGGGAGGGGGCTTTTGAGGGTTGGGTTGAGGGTGAAAGACTCCACTGTAAGGCTTTTGTTAGGTCCCTAATGTGGTAATATTTTTGTTATGATGCGCCTTTGACCTGACACTATTACTTGTCTCTCAACAAATCAGGGAAGCTGGCTCAGCTGGTTGGGAAAGAGCTCATTAGGCATGGCACTTTAGGTGGCACAAATTTCACAGCTCCAAAGCAATCTGGAGGCCTCACAGAAACACAGGTATCATATTCAAACAAATCACTAACCCCAGAGGCCAGCTTCAACTGCTTTTATGAAGTGAATCATGATCTTTAGGAAAACTAAATGGCTGCAGTCCAATTTAGCAGCTGGATTGTATTAGTTCACATTTTTAAGGACAAAGGTTACAATAACAAGATCTTGTGTTACTCAATTTACTCAATTAGGTAGCATAGTTACCTTAATGGTTCTCTAACAGTTTGCTGGTGTTAGAAACAATATAATTTGTTTCTTCTAGGTAATACAAAAGAAAGGCATTCCATACATGAAGGCAACCTAGTAGAAAATAGGCAGCTGGGATAAGAGGGGGACAAAATAGGCACACTGTTGCTGAGAAGCAAGTTAACATGGCAACAAGTATTAATGATAGAGGTGAAGTCTGAGTCAGAGTACTTCAGGGCTGAAAACACAAGCAAAAAGCTTAAAACTGGTACACCAGGCAAAAGAAAACAGAGAACCCAAAAGACAGCCATGTGTTCATACACACACACATGTACATGATGCACATATGTTCACACAGCTGAAGACTGGAGCAATGGACTTTTCCCATTTACCCAACACTCCACAACATTGTTATTTTCTATGAAATGCCATTTGTGAATCTCATAACAGGCTAACAAACAAGAAAATTTATTTAATCTTTTAGACCATTAAGGTTGCTCTTATTTCTACTGCATTGATAAATTTTAGTTGCATATAAGTCACATCATGTAACAGAATTTGGTTTATAAACTGTAATAGTGGTTAAACATATTTTAAGGTACAATTAGGTTAGCCATAGAGCTGAAAACATCTCGAAAGTACTTATATCAATATGTCTGATTATCAGTAACTTCTAATGGCTGGGTTTATATCATACACACTAATTCTACTTACTGACAGACTGAAAGGGAGAAGGCTGGTAGGGTATTGTGAAGTGTGAATAAAAGGTACTATGTTTGTTTTTTTTCCGAGCCTGAACTTTCTTTTAATTCCTCACCCCGCTGCACACACAACTTGGGCCAACCAAAACGTACACGGCCTTAGGAGCTGCCAAGAGCCCTTATCAGAGCTTGTAGCCACTTCTCACGCGATTTACGGAGGTGTAAAGGCTTTTCCCCCACGCCAAGAGGAGCGGCGGGTGCCCCGGACCCCTGCGCTGGGGCTGCCGGGCGGAAGCCAGTCCTCGCCGGCAGCCCGGGGACTGAAGAGGGGTTGAAGTTGATCCCCTCTCTGGCCCTTCAGCTCTGGGGGTAATCTAGGCACTCGGGAGAACGATCTAATGACCTACTCCACCCCTGCTCCCTCCGCCCAGGCTGCTCCGGGCTGCCCTCTGTCACACGAGAGGGGAGCGAGGGGGAATGAGCCGCGGCGGCGGCGGCAGGAGGAGGAGGGAAAAAGGGAGGGCAGGAGGGAGGGAGAGAGAGAGCGAGCGAGCGAAGGAGGGAGGAAACCGGGCAGGTGACACCGCGCTAGGTCGGCTCCGGCTCGGCGGGAGCGGGGCTGGCAGGGGAGGCCATGCACGTCAATGGGAAGGTGGCTCTGGTCACCGGCGGGGCGCAGGGCATCGGCCGGGCTTTCGTCCAGGCGCTGCTGGGCAAGGGCGCCAAGGTAAGCTCCGGGAGGAGCCCCTGCTCTCCCCTCCGCCTCCCGCCTCGCCTCTCCGCCTGGCACCAGCGGGTGCGGGGCGGCGGCGGCAGCCCCCGGACTCTCCTCGGTGGGGGACCCGCCATTCTGTCCGTCTGCCCACCCACCGCTCCTTCCCCGCTCAGGTGGCCCTGCTGGATCGCAACTCCGAGGCTGGGCAGGAGAGCAAGGCGGCCCTGGACGAGCAGTTTGAAGCGCAGAGGACGATGTTCATCCAGTGCGACGTTACGGACCAGGAGCAGCTGAAAGGTAAGAAGAAGCTGTCAGCGCTGGGCTCCGGTTTAACATGCAGCAACCTGAAGGAGCCTGGGCTGCTGCACCAATAAGTGTGCAATTAAGGTTTCTGGAGGACAGCCTACTCCCAATCTTTTCTGACAGTGACTCAAAAAGGATTTGTTTCTGAACCTGCAGATGTGAAATATTGCTACCAGCATGCATGTATTTCAGTGTGTTACTTGGCACATCGTAAAGAAAAGCCAAAGAAACCATTTTCATTGAGCGCTGTGTGTGATATTTTTGCATGAAAGCCTCTACAGGAGATAATTGTTATTTTATGAGTAATATATATAAACTTTAAAGCACGGACTGCCTTTTTATGAGGCTTCAGTACCGACTCCAAGCTGCATTCCCTCGTCACAGGAGTAATAAATTCTGCTCTGGGTTGCACTGCTCTTTCCATACAGCACAATTACTTTCAACGTGTGCTGTTGTAGCTGAAAGCTGGGCTGGCAAAAGATGGCACGCTGCTTTACACAGTGTTAAGTATGGGTTGATAACATTTCACACACATTTTGCCGATGCAGAGAATGGCAAAGAGCTTCCCTCAGGCGTGATCTGCATTTGTTTTCACTTAGTAAATATGTTGTGTTCCCTACTGAGCTCTTAGTGTATCATATAACATCGATGTGCTCTTTACAATATTTCATATCCGGCACATCACTTCTCAAAGTTTCATTATTAAATGATGCATTCATAGGTAGTGACTCAGATTCAGATTTTGACATCGCTTTTGTCAGTGCCCGTTCCCCAGAGTAATTTTTTGCCAGGCTAGATGTGAACATTTTTAGTTCTGCTTTTGTTCACTACACTTAACTGGCCGCTTTCTCAACATCAGCAGTGATTGAGCATATCCATTCCTCTTTCACAGCTCATTGCAACCAGTTCAGGATTCGGCAATAGTCTTCACCACTCCAACCTAACATGATTATGCTTAATTCCAAACCTTTACATTGTCTGTCTGTAAGAGAGGTGCTGGACTTTAAATTTGAGCTCTGCTCTAATCGACAAGCAAAGTTTTTATCAGGTAGGCTGATTATTGACTTTTTCTGCAAGTGGGAGGAGTAAACCAGGAGCAAGAAAAAACATCCAAGAGGTAGGAATAGCATGTGCTGCAGGTTGGGTGTTACCTCGGTGTGCTTTCTCCCCCATGATCACTCCTTCCTTTAGTGCCGGCTGGTGCAAGACCAACAGGGGTGTATGCGGGGAACTGGGGGGAGCAGGACAGGTCTGCAGGGGAGGTTTTGGAACTTAGTAGAAGAGCAATCAGGATAATGGGCTCTCACAAAGAATGAGAGCAAGAACTTATGCTTCTCTGATACTGCATTAATCCTGATGCAGGAAGCATAAATTTGCAATCCTGTTTTACAATCCTTTGGGGTTTCTGGGGCATTTTTTAGTGATTTTGTTGGTTATTATTTTTATTGCTTTATTTTCCTAATTTTGCACTTGTAATTACAAGCCACTACTTAATAAACTTAGATTAATTTCATTCTAGTGTTTAAAGTTCTTAGTGGATGCATCAAGTCCTGTACTTGTCCTTTCTGTGAAAGGTCATGTGTATGAAAGAAGTTCCTCTTATTTTAACTTTAGCCCTTTTGGTATGAAACAAGTCGCAGTACTAGAACTAGTATCTGTAAGGCTTCATCTACTTTCAAGTCTTGCCTCTGCTTTTTTCTCTAGTGGGTTTTTTACACAGTCCCCCCCAAAACTCTGACTTGTCTTACTTTTGAAAAAACACCATGTGTGTACTTTTGCTCTCTATGAATGTTTAGGAAGCTCACTGGTGTCTGTACCTACTTTCCACTCTTTCTTACCTCTCCTCTAAAATGGATCTTCCTCTTAATTTTTCATTTTTCTTCATACAGTATTTTATATGACCATCTGCTTTTAATTTTTATGATTCCATAAGCACTAACTAGCGTGCAATGTAAACACAGGATTATTCTACATTTAAAAGGAGAAGAATAAGTCAGTTTAAACTGATGTGCAGGTGATAACTTTGTAAAGAATTTATAAAGAGATTCTTTTTATTTATAGGGAACATAAGGGATTACTGTAGGAAGGTAAACTTCATGAGAAAAATTCCAAGTTTGGTAATCATTCTTTTATTTGGATATGAAAACAGTTGAAACGCATTTGGATCATTTCTCAGTGTGTAAACTAGAAAACTACAATTAAGACTGCATAGATTTAACAAATAATAGGCAAAAGTACAATTATCCATAGTGGGCTTTGAAGGCAAAATATTAAGAATGAGGTTGATAAAAGATGCTATTTCTTTGCTATGCAAAATTTGGAAGCTCTTTTGTACTTATTTTGTACTTATCTTACTCACTGAAACTATGTTAAATTATCAGTTCTGCTCCTGATAAAGCCAAAGGTTTTCATGTGACCATACTGATGTAGGATTGGAAAGATGAGAAGTGATTGCAGAGTTAAGTAGAGAAACCAGAGAATGAATTAGCAACAAACATAGCAGAAGCCAAAAAGGCAGACAGCCAAAAATAGAATTTTAGTAATATTAAAGTATTCTAGTACAGAATATTAGAAAAAGCTGTACAATAAAGGCAGTTGAACAAATAAAACCTTTCCCATCAGCTGCCCAGCTCTTGTTCTGATGACAAGATGATGACTGAGATGGACCTGCAGCATTCAGGCAAAGAAAAGGCTGTAGCAGTACCGACCATCTGGTGCAAGGAAAAAAAACTTTGTAAGCCCCTGCAACTGCTGCAAAAAGGTACATGTCTCAAAGCTGCTGCTCTGCTTCTGGTTGACACTAATAGCCAAAGAGTAAAGGTCAGAGGATTAAGATGGTCCTGGGATTACTTTTTAATGAAGTGGTTTAATAAAGTCCTGTCAAGCATAATTTCAATGTACCTGAAATACCCTAAGATCGGGGTGTTTTTCCATCACCAAATGATATTTTTTAAAATTATATGGGGGAGGGGGACATCTTGTTTACATAATAAATATTTAGTGATGAGGAACAGTATTTAGAGGGAAAAAGGAAAAGAAAGCTGAGCTGTATATGCGTGTAGATAATGTCTGCAGTAGTGGAAAATCTTAGTCTGGAATGAACATCTGGAGGTCATCTCATCCAACTATCCTGTCAAAGCAGGAGCCAGCCTAGATGAGTTTGCTCATCACTATGACATCATCATGTTTTTCCATACACATCTTTTATCTTAGTTCAGACACTGTCACCTGGGAGAACACAATGTGATTGTGGAAGTTCCTCAGTTCTTTATTTTGAAATTCTTTGGAACATGGGTCACTGTCTTCATCCACAGAAGGAAGAAGATTTGAATTTGAGAAACATATTATTAAAGTTACCTAACAAGTAAGAGGTATAGAAATGTATCCATTTATGCCGAATTATTTGTAGTTGAAAGATTCATATTAGTTACATCACTGAATAAGCACTGGGTTCTTAGGTTGAATTCAGACTCAACCAAGAAAACGGTTCCAAACACAAGGCTTTTATTTTGCATTTAAAACAGATGATGCCAAATCTTGAATTCACTAGATATATCAAACTATTACAAATCAAGCTATAAATGTTTAATTTATATAATTAGGGTGTCAAATATCCTATCTAATATAAAATGTATGGGTGCTAAGAAATTTCATTAGCTCCTGTTAGTAGGCATTATAAAACACAATGAAAAGGCAACTATGGTATCTTGATTCTTTAATTATTCCTGAATATGTTTAACATATGTTAGACAAAGAACTTCATTGCATATTGCTCATTAGTTGTTAAGAAAACAGTGAAGACATTTTGGTAGACTAAAAGAACATTAATTTGTATGCATGTGTTGTATTTTTAGGTCTTACTTTGCATTAGTGCTAAGAAATTTCACCCTTGGATCTTACTATAGGTGCTTTCAAAAAGGTAATTGAACATTTTGGAAGGCTGGATATTGTGGTTAATAATGCTGGAGTGAACAATGAGAAGGACTGGGAAAGCACTATACAAATTAACTTGGTAAGCATTATCTCCTTTCACATGTTCATACTTCAGTATTTAATGCTGGAATACACTTAACAGCCCTCGGCTGGTACAGACTGTGCCATATCACCGAACATTGTTTACTGGATTAGTAAGTACAGCTATTGAAAGAATAACCACATAACTACATATGTACTAACTAATATGTGTGTGTGTGTGGATAAGTTTCCTATCCAAGACATACAGAACTGTGTAGAGGTACTCAGGCTAATACCAAACATTCTCTTTCTGTAAAACCCAACAGAATCCCAGGTTGGTGTAACAATTTGGTGCCAAAAGCAGAAGAGCTGCACTTAAAGGAGGCCAGTCTGTTTATATGAATGTTTTAGAACATTTAGTTCTTGTGAGACTCAGCTGGCCTGCATTAGAGAGTAAATTGCCATTTGTTGGTATTAAAAGAAAACTTAAACCAAGATCTACTCATTTGCTTCACCAATGAAGCAAGCATACAATCTGAGCTTTTAATGTAGGCCATTTCACCATCATTACCGATAGAAGCACACCACTTAAGAGCACTTACTAAATCCAGTACATTCAATAAGCCTGTAAAATTTATTTTCAAGACTATTACCAGTTCTTTGATATTATCTGGTATGTCATCAGGTGAGACCACAATATCTGTTTCTCAGGCAGAAAAACATTAATTTAGACTACACTGCTAGGAGAGCTAAGCTCCAAAGGAAAGGTTAGCTTTCCAGGTTAGTAAAATTCTGACTAGCTTGTATTTTACCACGTGAAGTTCTAATTCGATGGCGATTCAGCAAGTCACATCTGACCATCTTCACAGTGTGTTATCATCATGATCTGCAAAGAAAGTAGCAAAAGGAAGCTTGTAAGAGTGGAGTTTTCTCCAATTAATCATTTGGAATTTGTCAATGCAAAATGAAAGCTCATAATAAGAAAATTAAGAGTTTGTTTTTGAGGAAAGTTTTAAGGACAAAGATACCCAAGTCTTCGAATCCTAATAACTCTATGAAAATGAACTAATAAACACCCAGACAAACAAAAACCAACCAAACAAAACCAGGAAAAGCAGCACAAGCTGTATATGAGACAAGTTACAGAAAAAATAATGGGAGAATATGTATTCGGGGGAAAAAAGTTAGAATTTAATAATTTTTTTTTTGATCTTTAGTTTCTATCCAAGGTCAGATTTCCTTATCTTGGAAGGGACTGAACTTAGACATTTTTGCAGTAGGAGAAATACATTTGTTCGATTTCCTTTGTCTTTTCTTTACATTTCCTTTAAGACTTAACTGAATATATTTCTTCCTTTCATTTCTAAAATATTCTGACAAATTAAACATCAGTAAAGTTTACACTGTGAAGTAGCAGGAATGTGGCATCCTCAGTGCTATGCAATATCAATATCTATCAGTACAGATCCCTTGAATTTGAAAGAATTTAGCTGTGTTCTGGATTAATTCTTTCTCTATTTTAGTGCCTGGTTTAACACAGGATATAAGTTCCTGTAGGCAGCCATCTACCTGTCAAAATTTCAAGCACAGACAGTCATTAGCAGAAAAACTGAAGTCTGTGGGAAACACATTTGTCTGTGATTCACCTTTAAATGTAGCTCAAAAAATGAAGGCATATTTGAGCAGCATCTCTTGAAGATATTTAATGTCCAGGTGGATTTCCTAACTTAGAGTGATGACCAAGTAATTTTTCAATTCCAAGACCTTCAAACAGAAGGCATTGAGAACCTCTTCTGCTATTTTGCAGACACCACAAGCTTGGGTGGGAGTGTTGGTCTGCTGGAGGGTAGGAAGGCTATGCAGAGGGACCTGGACAGGTTGAATTGATGGGCTGAAGCCAGTTGTCTGAAGTTTCCACAAAGCTCAGTGTCAGGTCCTGTGCTTGGGTCACAACAACCACATACAATGCTCCAGGCTGTGGGAACTGTGGCTGGGAAGCTGCTCAGCAGAAAAGGACCTGGGGGTGTTGGTCAACAGCAGCTGAACATGAGTCAGCTTGTGCCCAGGTAGCCAAGGCGGTCAACAGCATCCTGGCCTGTATCCGGAATAGCATAGCCAGCAGTACTAGGGAAGTGGTTGCCCCTTGTACTGGGTACTGGTGAGGCTGCACCTAGAATACCGAGTTGAGTTCTGGCTCCTCAGTACAAGAGAGATGGGTGCTGGAGCAGGTCCAGAGAAGGGCAACAAAGCTGGTGAAGGGTCTGGAGCACAGGTCTGATGAGGAAGGGCTGAGGGAAGTGGGGTTGTTTAGCCAGGAGAAAAAGAGGCGCAGGGGAGATCTTGTCACTCTACAGCTATCTGAAAGGAGGTTGTAGTGAGGGGGATGTTGGTCTTTTCTCCCAAGTAACAAGTGATTGGACATGAGGTAAAGGTCTCAAGTTGTGCCAGGGGAGGTTTAGATTGGATATTAGGAAAAATTTCTTCACCAAAAGGATTGTGAAGCATTGGAAGAGGCTGCCCAGGAAAATGGTTGAGCCACTGTCCCTGATGGTATTTAAAATACATGTAGATGTGGTGCTTAGGAACATGGTTTAGAGGTGGACTTGCCAGTGCTGGGTTAACAGTTGGACTCAATGGCCTTAAGGGTCATTTCCAACCTAAATGATTCTGTTTCTACTCTTTTTTTTTTTTTTGTCTTACTACCAGTGACTGGGCTGAAGCCAGCCATAGGTGGGTAAAAAAATAAAAAAATAAAATTAAAAAAAGGAAGGTCATATAGTTTATACATTATTGTATCGATAAATTCACCATAAATGTCCTCATGACTTAATCCATGGTTAAGAGTTGAAAGATTTCAGCAATACGTGCTGGTGACTGGATTAAGAATGTCTAAGATGATCAAGCAGAGTAGAAGTACACCTGTGTGGGTTAAATCAAGGACACGAAGAGCATTTATCTTTAATTTAATATTCTTTCCTCTAAGAAAGTCTAAACTTGAGTTGACTAACTCATTTATTTCTATTTAGTTGCTGTAGTTTCCATAAACTAATACATAACATGTTGTACTTTTTGCTTTTTAATGATAACAATAAAAGAATAACAGCTGCTGCATGTAATATGTTATATTGGTTGGTTCCAGAAATATTTTTTGCTTATTGAAAAGAAAGGAACAAAACATATAGAAAAAACATTATCTTAAAATGCCTCTATTTCCCTGACATCATATCCTTTGTATTACCACCAAGAACATGAATAACTTCTATGGCCACACATTTTGATGCACATTATGCATGTAATTTCTACTTGAACAAAGGGCAGAAAAAATTCTTACCATGCCAGTCTTCATCTTAGTGATATATTTTATATATCAATACAACAAATATTCCCTGCCTCAGTTTAAAGTACAAAGTACAAAACTAGAGTAGTACAGAGCAAGATAAATTGGAACAAACACGTGTGGGGTGTGTTCTTTATGGCTAAAACAGTTCACAGAACCAGCTGGTCTTCAGGAATATTTTTAAAGGAGTGTAAGGAAGTTCCCTGGTACTACTGCTTGAGAAAGCTTGAAAAACAGAAACTATGAAGAAGGTTCAAAAAGTGGGACTTAATTCAGAAGGAAAAAGAGATATAATAAACAATTCCTACTTGTATTCATTACAGTTCTCTAAGTGCAAGAAAAGACATCATGATAAAGTGGGGGGAGTCAGAGGGAAGTATCAACCACTAAAAAGAGATTTCTGTTGCAGTGCTTTTTACCATTTTGCTGTATTTTGTGCTAAACAACATCACCTTTTCATTACTTTATTAATATTTCTAATAACCTTTGTAGTTACATATTCCAGCAATGCCATCTATTCCTCATCTCAAAATTCCAAAGCTGATAAGTTTGACTTGATCAATATCAGCTTGATCAATGGCAGCTTCAGCTACTCATTCCCTTATAAATGTACATTCTTGTTATTATAGTATATAAGAAAAGATCTTGGCAACCATACAGAAATTTAATCTTAAATGTATATTACTAATATCATTTCAAAAGTCCATCACAAACACACCCATGCACAGAATAGGGCAAGGACATATGACACATACAGGCTTATCAAGAGTCCTACCTACAGTCCTCCAGCATGATAAGAAGTGTTTCTTGCATTCAGCTTTATAAGAACTTATGCCTAAGGAATCCAGAAATTTTATAATCTAATTTATATTTTTTCCCCTCCAGTCCCTAAAAAAAGTGCCCACATCTTTCTGGGCCTTGCACATATATGTTGGTTAAATACAATTTAGTATTCTAAGAAGCTTCCCTAATTTTATCTCGTTTTGATTATGTAGGCTTTCTGGAATCACTGTAATTATAGTAGCTGCTATAATTACAGTATCTTTTCTCTTTACAAATGAACTTAGCACATTTTACACTAAGACAATCCCAAAAATTACTTTCAGGTTCCTTTTTCATGCTTTTATCAGAGGTTTCTGAAAACTGACATAGGTTGCAAAATGCAGTTAAATGTAGCAGTACTGGTATCACAATATGCTTACATTCTAATTACCTAAATCAAAAGTACCAAAGCACTTTACGTATCATTTTAACTATCTTATTGTTTTCTTATGCCAACATGTTATTTTGCAGATATAGTCAAACCAGTTCCCAAATGAAATTGGATTCATGAAAGGAGTTGACAGCAAAATCATAATTAACTCCTGTTTATGTGATGATTTTGCACACACGGTAAAACTTTAAATTGCAGGCCATAACTTGGTCATGTCAAAAACCACGGTCATATGAGATTCAAGTATTAAAGTGATGGCCAAACACAAGTAGAATTCAAACACACATGTAAGATTTGCTCAGGTGTGTGACATCCTACATTACTAGGCAAAATGTGGTAATACCCAACAATTCCAAATTTTTACATTTTTCATGGCATTGCATAATTAGCTTCCATAAATGGCAAAGGTAACAAATTTCTGTGAATTTAGGAAAGTCCTTTTCTAAAATTAAGTCTACCTAATTCAGGCTTTGTCCCTGCAAAATAGATGAGTACTACAGAGAACAGAACGCAATACTGTATCTACATATGATATAAGAACTACTTAAGCCCAGCTACTCAAATTGCAACACCATCCCAAAATTTTTCAGGGATGTGTGTTGGAGGGTTAAGGACAAGGAAATAAAGAAAACTGAACAGTAAAAAACTAAAACATAGTACAAAAGCTACTGATTTCTAGCAGATGATAAAATCCTACTGCACATTCCTATTCCTTTTTCCCTCTCCCTCCCTAAGCTTTTTGTTTTCCACACTTTGAGCAGGAAATTTAAATTCAAGAGCCTGAAATTTCATTTCATATAGCATGTAAACTAACCTATACCTAGGAATGCCAAGGGACTTTCATGCTTGCTACAACATGTCTGCTTCCTAGAAAATCTACATTAAAGACAATATCAGTCCCACTTCCCTGTCCAACAGGAAAATGCTAAAATTTTGGATATCACTAGCAGCACTTAGTTTCAGACTTTCGAAGGTCATCTTACGCAGTTCATAAAGTACTTTGAAATGTTCCTTTATAGATAGCCATCAATTTACAACATCACAGTATGGAAGTGAAATGATCATGGGTCAAATGCCAGCTCTGTGCTAACCTGCTTTATGAAACCACAACTCAATGGCTCTTTCATTTGTTTATTGTTTGGTATTCCTAGCACTGAACTAGATTAACTCAGACAACTACACAAAGTGTTAGAACTAGTTACAATTTTGTTCCTCAAAGCAATTCATATTGCCTTATGACCTTGGTAACAATACAGTACTCATCTTCAGCGCTAAAGGATTTTTAATTTTTTTTTAGAACAATACAATTAAATCTATACAGCCATGGGATTTAGAAACATGTCAAGAATCACAGATTTTGTAAGTTTTGTTTCTGATTTTGACACTTGTACCTAAATTGCTATTTAACCATTTGTTAAATAAGTTACCAATTACTGATGATATTACAAAAGCAACTGCAAATGTTTTGAGTATTTGCACAGTTAGTTTGCAATGTTTACCATGCTGTCAGGCACTAGGTTTTGGATTAATTACTATATGGTATTTCAGAATGTCTGATCTCCTGTAATTTAAATCTGTCATTTATGGAAGCTAATACAAGGAGATAGTCCCACATTCAGTATTATAACTTCATTGGAAATAATTCAATCAAAAAAAAAAAAACCACAAAGTTTTTACTCTGGCAGTTGAAGAGTAAAATGCCTCTCAGGAGCACACTCAGACTGCAGTGGACCTCGATGGTTCATCTTCATTATGCGCTATAATAAAACAATATACTTTGGTAAGAAAACAGCAGTAACACTAAGATTGCAGGTTTTTCAGAAGCCTGGAGGACAACCATTTATATTATTCTCCTAATTTAATCATAATAGTTTTTCAGTAGCCAGGAGCAAAAAAAATAGGTAAGAGTCATCTGTCCCAGTTTTCCTTTTACCTGCATTTACTGGCAAATTTGAGTATTTTCCTACTCTTTGTCATTGACATGTTTATGGACAACATCCATGCAGCTAAATGCAGTTGTAAATAAAGGAATTGTAAAAAAAAAATAACTGTAAAATGCATCACACTTTCTTGTACAAAGTTAAGTCTCCCAACGTATTTTCATCTTAAAATAGTCAAAATAAAAACCCAATATGCTGTTCTTTGGAAACCAATAGTTCTAAGTTTATTGTTCTTTGGAAAACCTCTTTCCCATTTGAGTGTTTGGCACCCAGATATGAAAGCCAGCTTCACTTGATTAGCTCAGCTGGATCAATAGGCTCAAACAGAAAGTGGCACTAAGACTTCTAAGCACACAGTGTACAAAGTTAATACTATAGTAACTAACTTCAGACACTGCTATTATTCTTTGGAGAACTATTGAGAGGACTTTCTCTCCTGGAGAGAGTGGGTAACTCTGGCAAAAGAATGGGAGAACTATCACATAGTGCCTTTCATCTGAAGTGTCATCTGCTGACTGCACAGACAGCTAGGTGATTCTCTACCTGTATATTTGGTTCAGAGTTTATCTCCAGAGTAATCCTTTATGTTATCAGCCCAAACATCAGAAATAGCCATGTCACCTTTGACCAGCCACAGTTGATGATGCAAGTATGACACCAAGTGTAAGGGCAATATCCAAATGAAAGTATGCAATTATTCTGAAGACAGCCTCTCATAATACCTACACAAAAGTGAAGGCTTATCCAGAGACTTAAAGAAATGCTAAGTTAGTGGATTCCAGACAGAAAAAAGAGCAGTACAGTGAGTTTGATAGTAGAGTCAAGGTACTCATTTTTTTCTTGTCTTATAACTGTGGTTTGGCCAACGACTCATCTAGCTCTCTTATCTCTTTGGATAAGTAGGCTGGACGAATAGGAAAATCCTCAAGGAGCCCCAAGCTACTTTGTTCTGCAACTGATTTATATCCTCTAATCATCGTAAGTGGAATTTTCTTTGTCTGTTTTGCAGGCTGAGCCACTGCTCCAGGGCATGACAGGACCTGCACCTACTCTCCGTAAACATTCTAAAATGTCTTGTGTAGAACCTATTATATTAAAAAACCATCATCCACCCTTAAGTCCAAATCTAATTTCAGTTGAGCTGCTAATGAATTTAGGTTCAGAATAAGCATCCACTACAGCAACACTACCAGGCATTAGTGATCTTGGTTTTCAATTAATCCTTTAAAGTTTATATGTGACAACATTAAACAGCACTGCACTATGTTTATAAGGGCTGTGCTACTTTCCAGGTCATGCAAGAGAAATCAGATTTAGTTTAGTATTTTTCAAACCATGGAAGCTAGTTCTTTAGAAAGTTGCTGTTAAAACATTTAATCAGTAACAGTCTTTTCGTATTAATGAAAACATTTTAAAAAAGCATGTTACCTGAAACAAAACTTTCCAGGAGAGAAACAAAAAGATGTTTTCATGGGAATTTTTTTGTTTAAGACAAATTTAAAATTATATTTCAGAATTTTGAAATATTAATATTTTGTGATTTTTTTTTTACACTATCCTAGGAAACAAGTAATATACTTGGTTTCCTAGAAAATACATGTTAAATATATTAAAAAGGAAATATATTAATACGGAAAATATCACATAAAATGCTGTAACTACAGAAAAAGAAAAAAGCTCATTCATTATCAAAATTCCAAAGCAAACTTGGTAATGAGGTCCCAGGTTCTTTTATCTCTGTCAATGGACAGGATAACTATATGTTAGGTGGGAAATGAACAAGTAATAATAATAAAGCAGGACATGCAGTCTTCCCAATCTGATTTGTGTTAAAACCAACAAGCATGAAATTAAATTAGAAGTTGTACTTCATGTTTTATAACACGTATGTCTAAAAATATCAGGTAATAAAAACGAAAGGTAATATCCAAATGTAAAACCTATCTTAAAATTATTCCAGTTTTGAATTGGGAATTTAGATACAGACATAAAAGCTCTTAATATTCTGATTTTAAAAGTTTTTTTTTTCCCAGTACAACTCGCCACTTTCCATTAGGTCTTAGGCATATACAGATTTTTCACTGTGGTTTTTAATTACTTTGAGAAATTTTCCTCTCCACAATTCACAGTTCTGTAGGCCTTCTCCAGTCAAAAGTCTCAGTTCATCTGAGTTCATCAACACTTCATCATTTTATCATCTTTACTTAGGTCAAGGAAATAGACTAAACAGTAATAAGATATAAATGGTGTTTAAAAGATGAAATAATATTTCAATAACAATAGAAATGTTCCAAACATTTGTTCATTTTAAGTTGAAGTTGTAAACTGATTACAAGGAGATCTAAAAATCTCAGTAAATAATTCTGAAACATCATTAATGCAGTAAAACATTGCAACATTTCACAAAAGTTTGTATCTTCCACTAGGAGCACCGTCTGCTGACTTTCTATTATAAGTTGATAAAATCTCAGATCAAGCAGCTTACTTTCTGGGAGAGACTCTCTTGATTCGTTCAGGAGGCTGATAACCCCAGGCTTGGTGCATCTTTAGGCATCTCAGTTTAAATGTCTGAACTTCAGTGGGAGGAATCCCAGCAGAATTTCTCATTGCAACAGGGTTTAGAAACAGATCTTAAGGAATCATGATTATACAGGTCTCAATAAAATTATTTTCCTCAAAGTCTTTACTTTAAAACAGAAATAAAGTAAAAAAATCTATTTAAAAATCACATGGTGCAGCAAATATTATGCTAATAACATGCTGCATCTATTAGAATACTTTTTTAACCTTCTCTGTATTTGTCTGTTTAGGCTGACTTTCATTTGAGAGAAATGGTAAAACTCTGGCAGTCAGAAAACAATCCAAATTTTCAATAGCGTAATATTAAAATATTGTTATATTAATGTATCACATGATCCTAAAAAAGTGTAAATTTCTCATGCCTTGAGCCAAATAAAGTTATTAGTGTTAGTGTGAATCTTCAGATTCAGTCCATACATTTTTTTATAATGTAGAGCAGTGTGTCCCAACAAAAATGCTGTATTTTGGATCAGTTCATCTGCCACTCATTTCACCTTGTAGCATTTTGGTTTGATTGGTATCTTATTAAGAAAAATAATAAAGCTGATATTATTTCTCTCTATTGCAAGTGTGCTTCTGAAGTTATTGAGTTGTATTACTGTGGAGTCTGTTGCATTTATAATCTGCAAATTATAAATAAGATCACTGCAAAAGCAATACAAGTTCTAGGCACCAAAATAAAAGCAAGTTTCATTTCTTAGGAGTACAGAAGATAAACATTTTGAACTATTCCCTTTTCCCCCTATTTCAGACATCGGTGATTAGAGGAACCTACCTCGGCCTAGAATACATGAGAAAAGGAAACGGAGGTGATGGAGGAGTAATCATTAATATCTCATCTTTGGCAGGTGAGCATATTTTCTATCTGAACACTTTCTACTCACTGGTTTATTTCTAAAATAAGTGCATCATATTGATCAGTTGTACTTTTTCTTCTTTTTTATGGCTCTTCTCTATTTATTCCCATTTTGATTTGGTTTTCATCATAGCAACAGAAATAATATCAAAAGACCACTACCTTCTTTTGCTTTTGTTTAAACTCAATTCAATGTAAAGTTCAGTATTTTTCCAAACTTATCAGTCTCATACTTAATAATCTTAAGCATGATGTAAATAGAGTTTTTTTCAGGATTCAATACTGCCACACATTGAGGAAAACCTAACTAGCCTCAATTCATCATGCTTATTCAACACTATTAAATAACACTGCTGAATCAAAAGATAATGTACACCAACCACACTGTGTATAAAAAATGAAGTCTAACTTATAGACCTAATTAAATACAGGGTTACTTTAAATCTGATTTTTTTCTATTATGAAGTTATCAAATATGAAAAATCAGATAATCTTTTTTTTTCACAGAAAGGGAGAAAGCAATAAGATGTCCTCCATTCAACTCCATAGGAGCACAACTGTAGGAATACTTAAGATTAGACTGTGTCTACTTTATTAGTGAAGACTGTCATATTTCATCAAGTTTAAGCAAGAACATTCTTTTCTCACTACTTACCTATGTTAGAACGGTATTTCATTTTATTGGAATAAAAATAGAATACATGCTTTTTAAGTCAGTCAGGATTATTGCTGCTTAGTCACGAGGCAGAATTCTGCATCCTTTCCTGTAGGTATGCTCAACATTGCAGTGGCTGGGCTCACAGCAAAAAAGCACAACTGAAGGGCAAATGAATGGAGAAGGATGCACCTGACACCCCTCCTCAAAAAATGTGCAGGGTAAAACCTGTATTTTCTCTTCTTTGAAGAGTTTGTTTTCTCTTGCTCCTGTCATACTGTCTGGAAAAAACAATACATATGCTAGCTTACACATGGATTGTCAGTGTTCTCTTTGGTATACATGCAGAATACCAAATGATAGTAACCTTATTCTAGGTATTCCTATGTGTTTTAACAATGAAAAACCTCAAAACAGCAGCGGACATAGTTCCTGATTGTGGATAGATGTGAATGTTCCAAGTAGTATTAAATTCTTCTGTAAACTTAGCTTTTGCAATGAGAAGTCTGGTAAACCCTATTGACATTATGCATGTAGATCTTGAGGATCTGACTTAATACATGCACATATCTCATATGGACGAGGGGGTCTTTATAAAGCCTCCATATACCTTTAAGCCAGCACTTGCAATACTGCCTAACACATTGCTTACTGATGCCAGTAAGTTCATCTCTGTTGGCTCAAATAGACATTGTATTAGAACCAGATTAACCTGAAGGAAACTGCTATTGCAGTACAAGAGTTCATCAGCACAAGTAAAAGATTAAACGTTTTCACAGAAGTGCAGATGCCCATGCTGTGCTTAAGAAAGGTCAGAGGTAGCAAATAGTTTGACTCCTTTTCTAACTAGCCTCAAATGAACACAAAATGATTTTAGGGCTGTTCTCGGTTTGTTAAGATCTTAAGTGCTGTTTTAATTATTTGCTTAAAATTTGCATTTATTTGCTTCCTTTTTTCAACATTAACATTGTGCCATAATGATTGTGGGTATCTGTCAAAAACAAAGTGTTCTCTGCTATGTTTCCTTTCACATGGCTTGTATTTAGCAATTGTTCCCAAGGTCATAAGGAAAACCACATTATAAAAGCTGACATACACTATTTTGTATAGTTTATTTATTTACTACTGTTTGTGCTTTGTGACTCTAATTCTCCTTTTCAATCTGGAGGTATAAGTTTTGTATTTTATTCTATAGATAAAATAAAAACTGCCATTAGCTTGCTTAACATTACTTTTGAGTGTTTTCTCAGAGCTAGCTTCTGTTGATCATTAAACTTTTGAGTGGTTTTTATCCCCCCCAGTCCAAGTTCTCTATAAGATTTTTATGAGATACAGTTTGCAGACAGCAGATATTCTTGTGTCCTGCAGAAGAGCAAGAAGAGTTATATTTAGTGCTTACATAACATTCAATATATTTGCTTTACACATTAATTAGTTTCCAGTTCTTCACCATGGGAATTTTGCCAGTGATTTGAACTGGGGACAGAATCATGCCTTACTGGTTTGTATTTCCAAACATCCACAGAATTACTTAAATACTTCTTATGAAGTGGATGCTTAAATTGTTCATTCAGCTGGATGGAGGCCAGAGCATCCACTCTTTCCAGTACTGAATTTTCCCCCCTTCAGTGTCTCCACAAGACAGGACTAATCAAGAAAGGGAGAGAAATATGCGAACACATGCAGCAAGCACCCAATCCTAACCCACTGCATCTCAAAGCTATAAAAATTTCTTTATTTTATGGAAATTTGTGCATTCATTTCAAGAGGAAGTCATGCTGCTAAACAGCTGACGTAACGGGAAATGTACATTACTGCCAACTTTTCCCCATAAAAGATAATGCCAGTGACCACAGGTTTTCGCATTTTAGTAAACTCCATTTCAAATTCAAAGAGTAAAATGACTTAAAATTTCTCCAGTAGGAAGCTGCACATGAATTTTACTTGTAACAGAATAGTTACAACCAGCAGAAAAAAGCACATAAAACTAAATGAGATTATTTACATGATTAAATTTAGCTTAGTCTCTTACCTTTTGGTGGTTGGTACCTGTATACTTCTAGTAAGTAAAGGGGAAAGGAACTCGTGTATGCACGCACTTTTGTTTTGATAGCGTTCATATTTTCAAGAAGGTATTCTGTAAAACTGAATTTGTATCTGTCTGGATTCTAGCAGATAAAATCAAATCAAAATATTCATAGGTGTCTTAAAAACTGGTAAAACTCTTAATATAAAATCACACTATTTTTTTTGAGAGGTTGTTCCATGTGTAGTGTATCTGGATAACTTCCTGTTGTAGAGCCATTCCTGCAGTTTGATTGCACTCAATTTCAAGTACTCGGGCATCACAAGCAGCCATTTGTCCTCCTCCTATAGAAAGCTGCAGGCAAAAGAAATATTTAAAGTACCCCTCACAGCAAGCAGGCTTCTTTAGGACCTGGTTCTATATATATTACAAGAACAGAGTTAAGCATAAGGTTAACATCGAGTAAAGGCAAGACTTTATTACAGTGATACAGTGGAGCAAAGGTGTAAATGGCTATATAGCTGGGGCCTTCAGCTCAGCATCATGAAAAAGCTTCTGGTGTCCATCCCCCCACATCCCAACCTTCGTAAAAAGGAGGATCTTGAGCAGTATCCACAGGAATGAGTGTAGGAAATGTAGAAATTATTCCCTTGAGACTTCAGTTCATGTTAAAAAAAATTCCTAGAAATGACACAGTTTAAAATTTTTGCAAGGATTTCTGTATCTCCTTTGTTTTGACACAGATCACAGCAGTATATAACTGACACAGTGAACATGATCTTGTACGCCTTCCTGTTCTTAAGAATAGAGTATGATATACAAGCCCCTTTAATCAATTCTGTCATCGCTCTGTAGGATCATCATGCCCCGAGCTTCTTTCTCTAGTTACATATCCGCTTCTTCAAAAGCGGGTTTTGCCTTTAAAGAACATTGTAAGCATATTCCATACTCTGTATCCAGACTTTTGCTTAAGGGCAACAGAGGAGATTTCTGTAATGTGGTTTGGAAACACATTTAATTTAAATAAATACAGTTAAATCTTGTGATGTTCCTTTGCGATAGGCTTTGTTAAGTATATTTTATAAACCAAATCTAATACAGAAAAGAAAACAAATTATTTTGGCAATATTTTCCAGGACAGAGGAAAGCACAGTTTTGGTTTGCTTTTAAATAAGTTCCACCAGTTTGCCAAAACTTTTCAGCTTTTCACATATCTCTTTCATAAACAAGGAAAAATTTAGAATTTTAGGATGCCACTTGGCACTGATGTTTATCACATTAGTGAGAGAATATTTAAATATTTAGAGAGTGAATATATTTTTCTAAAGTATAACTGGGAATAGAGCTTAATCACTGCAAAATCACAGCGTAGAAGCAGTGCTTTCTGATGAATCCAAAGCCTCCATGAAATCAACAGCCAAGTTAGAAAACAGACTATGGTTCTTCATTCTGTGTGCCATACTCATGCAACATGAAGTACACTCTTCCAACAATTAATGAAATTTAAAGATACTATTTCTGTTTACAGAAATTACATTTGTCTCAAGCTGCCTAGCAGTGCACCCATAGAGCAAATAGAGGGTAGAAACGTCTTCTAAAACCTAATAAATCTTATTTAAAGAAAGAGACTTATTCAGATCTCTGAGGGCAACATGTGGGATGTCATGCCTGGGGAAAAATTATTAATTCTGTATTTATCAAAGCTCTTCAGTGGACTGAAAGAAAATTCTGGTTTCAACAAAGCTTACTGATAAAAAGAAGCTTATTGATACCATTCTCCAGCTCCAATACTACTCAAGCTGTGGATTTGAAACTACTGACCATGATAAATAAGCACCTGTAGTGAGAAGCCTGACACTATGTCTCAGATGGTACAGTGGTCTTGATAAGAGGACCAGAGTATAACCAGGGGCTAGTCTCTGTCAGGCTGCCAGGAACCGACAAAAATAGAAAAGAGCACAGCTGACACTGGCCCACATTTACCTTATTTTCATAAGCTGAAGAGCACCTTCAGTCATCATGAAATTATCTGCAGTTCACCAATTAGTTCTCGGTGAAGATCATTTCAGGGGAGAAGGAATTTCCCTGTCCCCTTTCATGTAACAGTTCAGTGACGCAGCATTGTTGCCTTACTTGCTAAGGCAGATTGAGAAGCACACTGTCACTTTCCAGGGCACACTGCTCCATGACTGTCCATTTGAACACCATCCCCTTCCTCCCACCATTATTCTGTGCACAATGTTCTCCAGTCTGTTGTTTTATTGCCGTTCCACTTTGTGTAAGATAATTAAATCTTCATGGAGAAGCAAATAGAATCCAGATTTTTTAACAAATGAATGCCCTAATTAATATGCTATGAACTCATCCTTGCTCACTGGTTGAATAAATGCATAGGCAGGGCAGGCTCAATGTCACAAGATTCATCCCAAAATACTTGCTAGCAGAATCCCTAGGACACACCACTAACAGAGAGGGAGGTTCAGCTCAGAGGAAAAGCTCAGAGCTGGAAATCCCACACCATGGCTTTGTGTACTGAACTCAGGAACAAAAGTGAGACAGGACTGTCATTGTTTTGGGTGAGGAATGTTAGGACTAGTCTTCATTGTCACTGCTTTGGCTCAAAGTGAGTCAATTAGTGTTTTTCTTTACTTAGTTCTCCACTTTAGCAAAAATAATAGTGTCAAAAGGTAACTGGTTTTAATGCTTTGATTAAAAAAAAAAAAATAAATTACTTGGTCCTCGCTCCCTGCTTAGTTATTCCTGCTGTCTTTTGATATTTAAGTGTAAGTCTTTGAACTTTATTCCACTTCATTATTGTGAGCTGTGCCCTTCCTTTTTTTATTTCTTGACTTTGTTTCTCTTCCCTCTCAAGTAACAAGTAATTTGTCTGTGTTTAAAACAAACCAAACCAAACCAAAGAAAAAACCACCTCTAAATTCCTCCGCTGTGTTCCCCAGTAGTTTGACTTCTGGACATCTGTCAGCTGCAGCCTCATTGGGATTGTTTGTTTTTTTTTATTTAAAACATGTAAAACTATTCAGGAGTTTTTAAAAATTACTATCAGAATATTTCTAATGTGCTAATATTCCAAGGTTTCCAGTTATTTGAAGAACAGTGATGATTATCAAAAGTCACCAAATAGTGGAATATTAAGCCTATATTGCCATGACAACCCACAGAAGACAACACAAAAGCCACTTTCACAAAGTGAGTTCTCAATCAGAAACATACATTAATCCAAGCTAAGCAGATAAACACAAGTTTAAGAGAACAACCAGCCATTAAGTTACTTAGCATTTAACAGTGCTAGTAACAGTGTTGCTGTCACTGGATCACCAGTGTAGCATTTAAACCGAGATAAAATCTTGAAGCTGTCAGGGTTGTAATTAGAGCTTTGTGCTGTCTTAGAACGTTTTTTCCTTCAGACAAAATGTATTCCAGAGCAAAGAGCCCATGCAAGTGTCTGGCATACATAAATTTTCTGGCAAATCCAGGTTTAAAGCTGGGTGATGTATTCTCATCTCCACTGAGGTAAGGCACACTCCTTCTTCATTATGTCACTTAAAGATATGAAGAATGAAAAAATATATCTGAGATATTAATTGGAATGACTGCCATTAGAATCAAACATTAACGCATCAAAACCAGTATCCAATTTTACAGTGCCACATTCAGGAATGCAGACAAATTTTATCCTCTAATTTTATGACAGGTTGTGATTTCCTATTCACAAGACCATAGATTTCAGGTGTAACTACAGTATTCATGTGGTCCAGTTCAGCTGTCACTCTGTCGTGGAAATTGTTGCCATAATGGACAGAAGTTTATATGCACTCATGGTCTGTCATCTCCTCTCAACCAGCTTTTTGACATCAAACTCAGTCTTACTAGAATTAAGTTCTCAATTTTCCTCCAAAACCTCTGTTCTGTCTCCTTTCTCCACTACAAATAACAATTTTATGCTGTCCCACTCCCACCATAAAGGTTCAAAATATTAGCAGTCATTTCTTTATTTTGTTTCTCCTTTTCCTTACAAAAGATGGCAATGATATTATCCATCGTTACCTTTTTCCTGTTCCCTCCTGAAAAATCTTCATCTTGTTTTTTCGTTGAACAGGGCCCACTGTAGGAGGTACCATACCATGAAATCTTTTTAAGCCAACCTAATTCAATCTAGATAATGCTTCAAAAAGCTTTTCTATCCACATCTCTTTCATTTCTTTATGCTTGCTATCTGAAGCCTTCATCTTGCCATTCCATTCACAGTGTTTACTCATATATACACTCTATCTGCACTGAGGTTCTACATTCACTTCTCAGTACTTTTTCCATTTGTTTATTGCAAAACAGCTTTCCTATTTAATATTACTCTCTCTAAAAGAAATAAAAAACTATCACTTATGAAATATCATCAGAGTATTCTTGTAAGTAAAATAAAGTTTACAATGCCTGGGGTAGTGCATCAAGTCTGAATTAGTTTTTTTTATAGTGGCTCCCTAGTGCAAAACCCACTATGCAAAAGTGTGGTGTATTTGTTACAGTATTAACCACATGATCAAATAAATAAGCAGTAACAGTACTGCATGGGTAGATGTACCAGCTGACTGTGCTTCAGTCAGCTGTGCAGCATACTTATTCTCATCTCTCGCATTAGAGTGAGGAGAAAAGGTTTATCTGAGGCTGAGTTTTGTAACTATTCCACAGAAGCAATATAAGCAAGGGCTTTAAGTCAGACATTATATTTATGTTTTGATATATTGCAAAGATAAAATTAAAGCAGTTACAGTAGTTAAAATGGATTTTGCTATTTCCCTTACCTTTTTCCACACTTCCTCCCTGAATTCACTGTAAATGACTGCAGGTGTTCAGTTTACATAGGAGCACCTAGGGTGTCAGCAATCAAAGTTTATATAAAAAAAACTTAAAATACTTTACATTCTTTAAGTGCTTTACAGATTCAAAGAAGGTTCAAAAATCTCATCCTTCAGTTTTCTTCCAGATTCTGTCCTCAATTTTAAGTCATACTTTATAGATATAACTTTTCCTCTAAAAAGTTACTTTTTTATTACACTTCTTTTGCCTCTTCACATTTTTATCCTTCTCATATCTTTTCTCAGCCTACCTCAGATTACAAAATATAATTTGAAAATTGCAACTAATCTATTTTGTTGCATCTGTAAATCCATCACTTATTTTGTACAGTATAGACCTATATGTGTGTTTAAGGTAATCATAAGTAGGAGTACCCAGCATCTTTATTCAGCTACCTTTTTATTTTAAAGGACTCATGCCTGCTGCATTTCAACCTGTCTATTGTGCTACAAAGCATGGTGTAATTGGATTCACACGGTCAATAGCAGTAAGTATGTGTTTTTGGAAACAGTATCAGCAGCTTTGCTAAGCTTCTCATGTTCCCTCTCTATTGTCACACAACTGGAACTAATTTACTTAAAGAAAATTAAATATCTGAAGCACACGAGGTTCCTTCCTTTCACAAAGATGAAATAAGTCAGTCCTGTGTGTTTATGACTGATCTGAGATTCTGAGAGCATGGAGAAAAGATGTTGCAAAGTAATTTAAGGACAATGGGAGGAGCCCAAAAGTCAAATTCTAATCCAAGTTTTAAAAATATTTTTTCATAACTCCATGCCGGTCATTTAACATTTCGGCTTCCGTATTTCTAAGTCAGGTTGATGACTTTTTAATGAGAAATAGGTGCTAAAATGTAGAGAAAGTGACTTGAAATCAAAAATGTTTACCATTATTTACTCATACCAACTCTTAAAGCAGTGAAAATGCAAGATGACATATTCAGGATCGGACATGTTAGATGTTATATGATCATACAGTAAGCCTTAGCCTCTGACTCCATAACTTTCTAGTTAATTTGGACAAGCAGTATGATAAAATAACCTGGAGGGAGCAAATATGACTACACTTTCACAGACTAAGCTTAAAAATAGCCTACTTATATAAGATTTCTAATCTAATTTAAAGAATAAACTACCCAAAATGATCATTTAGATGGTTTATCCATATTTTATGCCCCTGCCCCCATCCTAATAGATTCTTTTTTAGTTTAACCTAAACAGATTAGGACGGATAAGTGTTGCAAATATTAGCCAGATCATGAACCCAGCACCTGGTTTTCTATTTTTGTTTTCTCATTATAAAATAAACACCACCATCTAAGTTTAAAAATAAAGGGTCTGCTAGAAAATTAGAGTAAATGCTGTCTCTGTGGAACATGATAATGTCGATGGGAAAAAGAATAATAAACAAATCACTGTATTTACCAGGAAAGGCAGTACAGCCTAATGCTGGGCAGGTATGATACAAAACATCTAGGACTTTTCTCCTCTAGACCAAAAGGGCAGGCTACCATACCATGAAAATGACGTGATTTATGCAATACCAGAAAAGATTCCTGTTAAGTGTTAGAATAAATAGAACTCAGTGCTGAACACTTGTTATAATTTATCTTGGATGTATCATGTATAATTTGTAAGTTCTGTGCCATCACTAAGTTCATCCAGCATTCAACATATGCCTGGATGCTGATCAGACTTCTTTGCAACACACATGCATTGGTAGCACCACAAATGAAGTGTTCCATCATTCCTAGAACAATTTGTGCTTCTTGCTTTCATCATGTTCCCGAAAAAAAACAGTCCTGCTGCCTCTTTCCTGGAGTTTACAGGGACTTTCCTGTGGAGATGCTCAGTGACAGATTTGTCCCTTCGCATGGACAATAGAGGAGCCAGCAAGGTTCAGCATCACAGTTCTTGGGGTACAGGCCAAATGCTATTTCTGTTTAAGTGATTTGGGTTTTTTGTTTTTTTGATATTCTTTTTTTAATTTGATTTCAGATAGTTTTCTTCCAGTAAGGAAGTTCTTATAAGATTGGAATCATACATTTTGAAGATTTTTTTTTTTTTTACTTTGTTTTGCTTAACAGATTTATATCATCACCACAGAATACTGTTAATGATATGCCAATAGCACTAATAACAAAATAACAACAAAAATATTAGGGCAAAAAAAACCAAACACCAACAACAGAAAAACCCAAAACACCCAAACCAAAAAAAAAAACAAACAACACCAAACCCAAAACAGCTGCATGGGAAGAAGAGTGTTGATTTCTTCTAAAATTCCAAGCAAAACAGATTTTCTTTTTCCTAGTAATCTAGTACGTTACTAGAGAAAACATGCTTCAAACTTGGTTGTTGAAACAAGATTTGCTTACTAGGCAAGGGCTGAAAGTACTTAGTGGTAAGTATCATTCTTTGAAAAATTCCTTACACAATGCTGGTTTAAAATGGTGATAAATGCTGCTTTTTTTTTCCTAGTTAGCTGCTAATATGGAAAACTATGGTGTAAGACTCAACACAATTTGTCCAGGATTCGTCAACACACCAATTCTTCAGTCAATAGATAAAGAAGAGAATATGGGACAATATTATTCATATAAGGATGAGATCAAAAATATGATGCGATTCTACGGCGTGATGGAGTAAGTCAGATACAGAGTTTTTTTGCCCTCTGTTAATGAAGAACAAGCAGACAAAATTGCAATTTCAGCAAACTGAAAATAAAAAGGAAACACTGCTTCAGATAAAAGCCTATCAAGTGTGTTCTCTATACAAATGTTCTCTGTACAAGGAACAAATTACAGATATCTAAGGCTATTTTAAGAGTATTATCTACATAGCGATTATTTCCCTTTATGCATCAAAGTACAAATCAAATTCAAAAGTTAAAGGTGATGGGTTTAGTTTTTAATAGCCCTTGGTGTACTTCCAGAATTTCATTTAACCAAACTTGTTGTGAGATACAGGGTATATAATTTCTACTGAATTTCCACAAAATTTAAAAGAAAAAAATAAGTGAACCAAGATAGAAATCTGACCAAGAACTTAGAAAACTGGACTAGGTTCACAAGAGGATAGTAGCAACAATGATGAATTGGATCAAAGAGTTACCTAGCCCATTAAGGTATTACAAACAAAGGCCAAAACCAGACAGCCAGGAAAACGTGTGAGAACAAGAACAGTAGTATAAAGGAGTATTTTTTTAAACACCTTCTCAGTCTCTAACAATTAGGTGCTCAGATACTTCTGCACAAAGGAAACTGTATGGTTGTGTTATTTCACCCACACTTTTTCATACGTAAAGTATGTTGCACCTATTAATCACAGCAAACAGCATGTAAGGAAATCCTCCTTACGCTAATTTGCATGTCAGTCCCAGTACAGGAACAGGATAAATCAAAAGCAAAGAGCTGCAGAGGATTGTGTGAGGATTACTTCTGTCCACTGCCCTGAAAGAGAAAACTTTAATAGGATTCAAAAGGCAGCTGGATGTCCACAGGGATTTAGCAGTAACTAGAGCAAACAAATGATGATTTGCAAAGCTGCTGCTGTTTTAGCCTGTATGTCCTGATTGAGGAGACTGAATTTATCTCCTGAAATTCTCCACCACCTCTGCTTGACTTGAAAATAAATTTGTTCAAATACCAGTTTATTTAATTTTCAGGATATATAGATTTACACTGAGTTTCTATACTTTTCACATGTTCTATTGCATCATGATTCTCAAATAACATTTTACTTTTTTTTTCTTCAGCCCATCAAGAATAGCTGAGGGACTGATAACAATTATTGAAGATGATACGCTAAATGGAGAAGTTATGAAGATTACAGCATCCCAAGGGATTCATTTTCAACAATACAGCCAAACACCTTTTACATCAAAGAGATAAATAATTGGTTTATGCTGATTATTTTGGTCTTTTCTTAAATATAGAAAATTTTGAAGAGTAATTTTTGAAAAAAATGGTTAGTGCTGGTATCTAGAGCAGTTCAAATGTTCACATCCTAATAACAAAGAGATGGACAAGAAAATCTGGTGTGGGCAGATGTTACCATCTTATTTTAATACTATAAGCACTAATAATAGTATTTATTCAGTAGAATAAACACACTGCTCTGAAGATTTTTTTGATTATATAATAATAGGGGCCAGTTTTTTTCCCTTCTGGTAGTTCTGATCTACATACTCCGAGCATATTTTGGTGGACCTGACTTACTTCATATAATTCTTTTCACTCTCTTAAGTGTCTACTTATTTATGTCTTGAATTCTTCAAACTGGGATTCAGTTCAGGAATCTAGAACACAAATATACCTATAAGGAGTAAAGAATTTACTTTTTCTTATGAAATCTAAAATAGAACACAGGGCAAAATTTTCTTTCCTCCTTTATATACACAACTGACTATGTTGCATATGACACAAAAAACTACAGATTTTTATCTTCCTAGATTTTAGCTATTTATAAAACAGTTCAGTAATATTTTTGTTTTCTTTTATAGATATATACATATGAATTTTCTCTTTCTGTATATACAAGGATGAATACTTCGGCATTGACTGAAATGTCTACTTATTAAATCTGATTTTATAAAACTTTAAATCTAGTTTCTTGACTTGATTGACTAAAACCTCAATTAAATCCTGAATTATCTGATTTTTTCATGTTTACCATATGCCCATTTTTGTATCATGATACATATTCTTAGATGCAACACATCATATAGTGGCAATGAAAATAAAAAATGAGCTTCTACCTCCTGAACATCACTGGACCTTCTGAATCCAGGTCAGTCCCCAGATACATTTATGAAATAAACCTTGATACTGTATGGGTTACATGCTTGGGAAAAATAAATTTACATGGTAATTTATTTAGGCTTATAGCATAACAAGATTTAATAACTCCTGTGAAAGCTGGCAACATTTAATATTTCTCCTCCTTAAGAGTACTGACTTCAATTTCACTGACGAAAGCACTGTTTTTTTCAGCATTGTAACTGAAAAAGAG